CGACAATACGTGTCGATAAAAGTTACGGAATCGCACTTCTGGTTTCATTGCAACAGTTTATACAAAACTACCGTTTACGTTCTTAAATATTTAATTATATTGCTTGACTGTGAGTGACAGTTTGTTCTGTTTCGCTCAGATGCTAAAAAAATTTTTTTGTCATATTAATATTCGTGGTAATGGTATCTTAATACAACAACATGTAAATATAGGGGTCATATTGTATCCAAACGAGTTGAATAATTGAATTAAGTTTTGATAGAATTCAAAGGCAATTAATTTAACTTGTGTTCGCTACTTGTTTTATGTATTTATTGCTTTTTTAGATTTCTTACAAAGTATGGCAACATCATTTTTGAGAGGTTCTAACCAAAGCCGCTTTAATCCTAAATTACCTAAATTTCGCATCTTTCAAGAGCTTTTGCAGAGTTTATTAGAAAGCCAAGAGGAGGTATCCTTATACTTATTAATCAAAAGTATAAATCATTGAATTTCGAATAAGGTAGGTGGGAAGAGGCCTTCAAAGTTTGATACTTATCTATAGTTTCCCCCGTGGGCTTCTTAATACAATTTTAGGAAAATTCACTGCGTTTACGTCAATTCGCAAGTGAAATATACAGCTTTTTTGAGCGACTCTGCCATGATATCCNAACTATAAAAAGTGGAGGTGACAAATTGGCGCCCAGCGTAGGGCCCATATTTAAAGAGTGGGTGTGCTTTGAAAAATTGTGTGGTCTTGTTTCTGCAGTGTCGTTTTGTTTTCTTGTTTTTTTTTTTCTCATTACTAACATTTTGCTACTTTTATTTTTATTATTAGTAAGGCATTCCAAGAGTGGAAAGTATTCGGAGAGTGGGAGTCGAACCAAGGCCAATAATAAGCTTTGCTTGTACAAAGGAATTGAGTGAGTCCGTTCCGCTTTGTAATTTTTAATTTTTTTGTTTGTTACGGTAAATGGTATTGAGCGTTTTTCCACGTGGAAAAAATATTTAGTCTAGAGGGAAGAGACTGCATTGGACGTAACCAGTAGTAGGCCTACCGAATTAAATCTTTTTAAGTATTGTTCGCTGATTAAAAAAAATTGTTAATAATTTTTATTTAAACTAAATATATTTTTGGGATTTGTGTATTTATTAAATTTTGTGTAAAACTTTTTGTGAACGTAGACAATAAATCCGTATATTCATTACATTTTTTTGTTTTGTGTGGTTAGGCTCTTTTACTGTCTGTGGAAGGGTCTTTTGTTGTGCCAGTATAGGGCAACGCGCTTACCACGGTAGGGTAGCAGGATGAGCTCGCGTACGAGATGGAGGCACGCGGTATTCCAGTCGGTACGGTCGAGGACATGCGTAAGTCGCTAGGAGCGTCGTGTCTATGAGAGACTACCCCTTCAGTTTCAACGAGGATAAGACGGCGGTCGAATCAAAACTGGAGGAGGTAGAAAAATTAATTTTATCGGTTTCGGGTGGAGGCAAGCCATTGCATGGAGCGAAAGCGATGGCAGAGATTGAGTGGTGCCTTTCGCGAAAAGGTCGAGCGCGACCAGGCAATGAGGGCGAGATGAGTCAGCAGATGGAGCTGAAGAGCAAGTTGTCTCTCCATCTCGCCGAACAACAAGAGGTATGCGGCAGCCAAGAAGCCGAGGAAAAGGAAGTCGGTTCGGTAGAGTGCTCGGGTACCTCTTGTGCTGAACCGATAGCACCCCTGCCCGTGAAGATACGAGGCGTGGTCGAGGAGATAGTCGAGTCTCTGAAGCCTATGAACTTTTNGAGCTGAAGAGCAAGTTGTCTCTCCATCTCGCCGAACAACAAGAGGTATGCGACAGCGAAGAAGCCGAGGAAAAGGAAGTCGGTTCGGTAGAGTGCTCGGGTACCTCTTGTGCTGAACCGATAGCACCCCTGCCCGTGAAGATACGAGGCGTGGTCGAGGAGATAGTCGAGTCTCTGAAGCCTATGAACTTTTTAAAGTGGGACGTCCACTTTGACGGCGAAAAAACGGGAATGTCGCTTTTCGCATTTTTAGAACTGGTTGAGGAGTTGAGCGAAGCACGCGGTGTGACTCTAGCCCAACTTTTCCAAGGCGTCGTAGATTTGTTTAGTGGAAAGGCGTTATTAACGTTCAGGTCTGTTAGGAAGACGGTAGGTAGTTGGGAGGAATTAGTTAGGGAGTTGAAATTGGAGTTCTTGCTCCCCAATTACAACGACCTACTACTAGACGAGATTAGGCGAAGGACTCAGGGAGCGAAGGAGTCCATAGGTGTATATTTCGCGGCGATGAAGATCAGGTTTGGTAGGCTTCAGGAGCCTTTATCTGAGAGAAGGATGTTAGGATTGATAAGGTCGAATCTTCTTCCATTTTATCACAGGCACTGGTGACAATAGGGTCGAATGCAGAACTAGTAGCTTTAGGTAGACAGTTAGAGGCTGTGACGTCATCGGTGGATGCTTTTTTCCCTCATCCGAGTCTCGGCTGGTGTAGAGGTCGCGGCGGTAGCAGAGCCGGACCCTGTAGATAATTTTAGGCCGGGATCGAATACCCGATGTTTCAATTGTAGGAGATTTGGGCATATATCTTCAGAGTGTAAGAAGGGGATAAAGTGCTTCGGTTACGGTAAGCTGGGGGTCATGAAGCAGGACCGGCGTGTGCTGCGAAGCCGTATCGTACTAGCGTTTTTACGTCAGCCGTATATATCTATTGGCAGCGTTTTCACGTCAGCCGTATATCTTAACCGTATCGTACTGGCAGCGTTTTCACGTCAGCCGTATATCTTAAATCGTATCGTACTGGCAGCGTTTTCACGTCAGTCGTATATCTTAACCGTATCGTATTGGCAGCGTTTTCACGTCAGCCGTATACTTCTATCTACTTCTATTGGCAGCGTTTGCACAACACACCATTTACTCTATCTACGACAGCACAAACAGAAGTGTCGTATCCCTGCTGATGCTGCTCCTTTTATACTAAAATTGCCTTCAGGTGGACAGTTATGCACTGCCTTTTGTTGGTAGGTCTATCGCCTGTTCTTCTTTGCCCTACTTAACAGCGACGGCTCGCTACGCTAGTGTCTAGTTTAAATGTTTAGTACTTATTTATATTATATTATGTACATATATATATACATGTGTATATGTATGTTTAGATATGTGGGTATATATATATATATATATATATGTAAATATGTCTACATGTTGTAACTTCTCTGTTGTTGTTGTTGCTGTGGAGGCTGCAAGGCCTCGGACTTGGGGTCTTCCCAAGGCTCTTCACAGCGTTTACGGTTCCAGGCAGAGGACTATTTCAGTTTAAGAGGATGCCATACGGTCTGCGTAATGCACCGGCAATTTGGCAGAGATTTATAGATTCGGTCAAAGGACCAGAGTTAGAACCTCATGTTTTTATGTATTTGGACGATATTATTATCGTCACAAATACTTTTAAGAAACGATTAGAGATTTTGAAAGACGTTTTATATAGAATAGCTAGAGTAGGGCTTAGAGGTTAGGTTAGGGGCAAGTGTATGTTTTCTAGGTCTGAGTTGAAGTATATGGGCCACGTGGCGGACAAGAACGGTCTATACGGAGATCGTGAGAAGGTAGAGGCGATGCTTCGGATTGAGGTACCGAAGAACGTAAAACAAGTGCGGTCATTCATAGGAACAGTGTCCTAGTACCGCAGGTTTATTAAAGATTTTGCAGGGTTAGTTAGGCCTCCCACCGATTGAACAAAGAAAAATCGAAAGTGCAATTGGACTGAAGATTGTGAAAGGAGTTTTAAGAAAGCGAAAGAGCGCTTGGTGATGGCTTCGGTTTTGAGCTGCCCGGATTTTGATAGGCCTTTCTCAAGCCAGACGCGTCTGATTGNATGGACCCCAATTCAGGAGTCGAGAGCTTCGGGGCCTCTGCGGTGACTATGGCGTCCAACTCCGGTACACCGCACACTATCACCCACAGGCTAATCCAGCCGAGAGGATAAACCAGATTATTAAGACAACGCTTAGGGCTTACGTATCAGAGAACCAGAGGACATGGGACAAACAGTTGGCGAAGGTAGCATGCTGCATTAGGACAGCGCAGAACGAAGTGTTAGGAGTTACGCCATATTTTGTGAATTTTGACAGGGAAAATGCGCTAGAAGGCAGCAGGGACTTCATAGACAGTTTGGGAGACCAGGAGAAATTAAATTGTCAAGAGCGAGGAAAGAGTCTCGAAGAGATTAGGGCAAACGTTAGAGCTAGGCTAGAGCAGGTGAGTGAGAAGCTTGCGAGGCAGTACAACCTCAGACGTCGAGATGTGCTGTACATGCCAGGAGATTTAGTCTGGAGGAAAAATTCTATGCTGTCGGATGCAGCGAATTTTTATGCGGCGAAGTTAGCTCTTAAGTATGTAGGGCCGTTTATTGTTAGGAAGAGAGTGTCACCGTGGACATACACACTGACAGATGACTTAGGCAAAGACAAAGGCACTTGGAACATTAAGGAGTTGAGGCCATATAAGGATCAATAGGATCCGGTAAGAGATTTCCGTTCCCTGACCAAAAGGAAGGTTCCTTGCTTTTCGTTGAGGAAGGGGTGGAATTGTCGCGTACTGGCAGCAACAAAAACTTCTTTTGTGTTTGTATGTTCATTTCCTCTGTTTTGCCTAAGCTTCCTTTCACTCCAAGCGTAGGCAGTGGCATCTGCCGACAAATAGTTGCATTATTTGAAGCAATGGATTGATGGCACGGCTGCACTCGGTGTGTGCCTACCTAGTGGTATAAGTCTCCATAAGGAGGTGTTCCCTAAAACGGTTCCTCCACTAACAAATATTAAGGGAACGGAATGCTTTTCGCCGAAATTCCGTAGAAAGGGGTGTCGCCTTTTTCTTTAATGCAGCGAGGGGAAAATTATCCCAGTCTACTTGGTGTGCCATGGTGGCGTGTGAAATACAACCCGGTCCCTTTGGAAAATGGGGGTGGCGCCAAATGATTGGGCACCAATACACACTCGAAGGAGAAATTTGAAGGCCGACGCGTAGCTTGCAGCCTGGCCCGTAATTTTCAAAGGCGAAAACATTCTTTTTACGCAGACGAATTTTTTTAGAGAAAAAAATAAATAAATAGTGTTAGCCAGGTGAGGCAAGGTTGGTATAAGGGCAGTTGAAGCCTATTGTGTGAAATAGAAAAATTGGTTGTTTTATATTCCAGTGTCGGAACCAGAGTTTGGCGGCATCATCCGGAGGAGCACCGAGCTAGCGGGTGGGTTGGCTCATATGATAGATAGAGACTACCCGGATTTCATTTAGCTCGTCAATATAATTACAAATTTTCTATTCGAATTGTGAAATTAATATCGCTTGCTTAGTAATGTTATATTCTTAAAAAAATTGCGTATGTATAGGGCATTTCCATCAAGCGTAAACTTTGTGTTTGCAGTTTGGTTTTTAATATTATATGTTGTGTTATTATTATACAACAAATTGTACTGACTTTCGTAAATTGTACTGACTTTCGTAATTAAATTGATTTCCCAAATCCTTCGTGTTCATTCAACCCCATGAACCGCTTAACTTATTGTATAGACCTTTCATTGAAAACACGGAATTTATTAACTCACATTAGCACTCAGTAGAGATGTACCTCAACTGAATGTGCTGAGGTTTTAGCCGCCGCACTTATTAACTTAACAAAAATGATGCACTTAAATAATAACTGCAGAAAAATCATTCTAACTAAAATATTTTAAAATGTATACGCCCGCACCTGCCACCTGCAAATACATACCTGCAACCCTACATCCGAATAAAAAACAAAAATAAATATGTTAGTAAAATACACAATAAAAATATAATATTCTACACTGTTGAAAATATATATGGTGCCAAAACCCATTCGCGGAAGGACCGCAACAAAATAAGATATAGAAAAATATTATATTTACGATTACTAAATGAAACAATCGCAATCCCCAGCGTAGAAAACTTAATAAAAAGCATAGAAAACTTAACTGAAAATAAAATTCTTTACATACATATAAATAAATAACCGAAAAAATAAAAAAGAGTTCTAAATATATATATATAATACATATGTACAGTCACATGGGTAAAAATGGGCAAAGACGTGTGGAAAAGAAAATTAAAAAAAAATAAAAACTACGAACCGAATGATAAAGATCGCTTATTAAAAAATAACGAAACACATATCCACAAGGTCGCCCCGTGAACTTCATGTCCTGATGTGGGGTTCACCGATTTAAGGTCAAGGCGCGCCAATTTCTCTGTCGGGCGGGTCACCAGTCCGTTGGCTGTTTTTACTACGGCACTTCTTACTTGACCATCGGAACTGCGTATAACATCTATCACCTTTCTCTTCACCCAGGTGTTTCGTTTCGAGTTTTCATCAACAATTATCACAACGTCGTTCGGGGCAATATGTTCTGGTAGACTCTCAAGCCATTTTGCACGTCCTGTTAATCCAGGCAAATATTCACGAATCCATTGTCTCCAGAATTGATCGGCTAGCTTCCCAGAGGCACGTAATTTTTAATTTAACAATGACGGAAAGGCAACGTCGAAGTCATTCTTTTCTCGTATGAAGCTAGAACAGCCAAGAAGAAAGTGATTTGGCGTTAGAGCCTCGCTATCGTAAGAGTCCAGCGGGATGTAGGTCAACGGGCGCATGTTAATGATGCGTCGGATAAGGCAGCTCTCAATACGTCTTTACGCAGGGCCCCTCTTGCGAATATGTCCATAAATATCGATTTAATGGATCGGACCATCCGCTCCCAGGACCATATGTGGTGATGCTGATAGTATAAATTTCTACTCGATCTTAGGATATTTTCGCATAATTGTTTCAGATGATATATTCTCTATTTCTTCAGCAAGTATACGATTATCACCTCCAAAATTAGTGCCGTTGTCATAGAGAGTTCCCTTGGGTATTCCCTTTCTCAAAATAAACAACTTCAGCTAAAACAGAGATGAGTCGGTGGATAGTGATGGCGAAATCTCGATGTGAACTGCACGTATGGTCATACACAACTCCCCAACGTTTCTGGTGATTTCTGCCAACAGTCACATCAAAGGGTGCAAAATAGTCGACGCCAGTAAAGGCAACCGCATGGCAGAATGTTGCCATGCGCTCATGGGTAGCTTTCTCATTTCAGATGTTTAAGGTATGGCTCGCCGATTGCGACAATAGCTTGGCCACGTTTCTCACCAATGATCGTAAGCCATAAACGTGATCGCTGCCACACCTCATTTACCACTATTTCCTTGTGCTGGTGATGGAACCTCCGATGATAGAACTCTGTGATGAGATGAGTAATTATAATATTTCGGGGAAGTAGGATAGGTCCTTTAAGATCGGCTGGTGCTTCTCGTGCTTCGTCAATTCGATCCTTCACTCTCAGCAGCTCAGACTCATCTAAAAATGGAGGAAATTTGTAAATTAACCTTTTACGACTTACCACGCCGCTTATTATTTGACCATATTCTGTGGTATAATACTCTTACTGGCATTTATGAAATAGAAAAGTTTCAGCACTTGTACAAGTTCTGTCATCGAGGAACATCTGTGTAATAGGATTTCCTGCTGGAGATTTCATAGTCGAACGAAGAAACCGAAGAATGTACATCTGAGCTGACCTTAGTTTTTCCCACTTACTGAACCTTTGTGGATCCGGTGATGAGCCATGTATTGGTGAGTTGTCTGTATTCATGTGTTGAATTATTTCCGCTGCAGTTTGAACTTGTTCTTCTACGTTATCCTTCGATGGTACCCACCGCCATTTGTTGACTTGTGCATCTTTTAGAATTTCACCAACACGTACAGCCACAAACTGGTTAAATTTTTGTGTGTCTGACATTATCCAGCAGAGGACGTCTTTCGAATCGGACCAGAAAATCCGGCGGTTTACTTTTATAGAGATCTCCAGTTCTATAAACTTAGCTAGACGAAGGCCTAGGATGGCAGCCTTGAGCTGATGACCTTGGCACTGAGAGTGGTTTCAAAGGAGCAACTCTAGTTTTAGATGCAACGAGACTGCAGCAAATTTTGTTCATTATGCTCGAACGTATAAAGGCCACAGCTGCATATGTTGATATGCTAGCGCCGACGAAGATATGAAGTTGATTATCGATGCTATGTCTCGCCAATTGGTAGCACAGTGGAATTCGAATGAAATGAAGCCTTCGCAGCCACTGTCACCGTGCGGAGCGTTCACGATCTTGCACAGGCTCGTCCCAAGCTACGCCCGATCGCCCCACATCTTGTAAAATCATTTTGGCTTTTATACGAAAAAAAAACCTAGCAAGCCCGAAGGATCGAAGATGGTCATCACCAGCCGCATTTTGTAGGAAGACGACTTTCATTGAAGACCTCTGGCTTAAATCAGTGAACAAATGCTAACTCATCACTAATAGGAAGCCACCACATTCCAAAAACTTTTTGAAGTTCTGACCCCGGTTCTAGGAAACACTTATTTGTGAGCTTACTTTGGTTGGTCATTGCTTGTAGAACTCGTTTGGAATTCGAGAGCCAGTTTCGCATTTCAAACCTGCCTTTAGAATGTATGTTGCGCAGTAGCAAGATGATTAATTTCGTTTTCATTGTCTGTACTGTACAGCCAGTCATCTACAAATGCGACGTTGCCGAAATCGACCGACCGGCGATTGCAGAAGATCGGGACCCTTGAGCAGTACATCGTTTAGACTCGTATCATTAACCTTTGCAGCTGCATCCACCAACACAATTCTTTTATTTTTGCTGATATTTAAAACTGTTAATATCGGGATAAACCAGGACTTACCTCATCTAGAGACTTCATCGGCTTTCAATTTTCTTACATAGCCCTTATCGATATATTCGTTCCACAAGACAAGAAAATGCTTAAGCTGCATGTTGTAGGACTGATGCCAACAAAATTTACGGCAAAATAGGCCCTCATTAAGCTGTCTAGTTGGTCGTCTCTGTTACAGCAGCCTCCATCGGAGTAGATTTAACGTGGTCGTAAACTGATCAGCCCAGCTTACAGCTTGCCGCAGTTAAATCCCTATCTTTGACTTGGTGTACTTCTGCTGAAACGCAGAGTTCGGTTGTGTTGTCTAAGCCAATTAACAATCGTGCTTTGCAGTCGGTGNAAATGAAGCCTTCGCAGCCACTGTCACCGTGCGGAGCGTTCACGATCTTGCACAGGCTCGTCCCAAGCTACGCCCGATCGCCCCACATCTTGTAAAATCATTTTGGCTTTTATACGAAAAAAAAACCTAGCAAGCCCGAAGGATCGAAGATGGTAATCACCAGCCGCATTTTGTAGGAAGACGACTTTCATTGAAGACCTCTGGTTTAAATCAGTGAACAAATGCTAACTCATCACTAATAGGAAGCCACCACATTCCAAAAACTTTTTGAAGCTCTGACCCCGGTTCTAGGAAACACTTATTTGTGAGCTTACTTTGGTTGGTCATTGCTTGTAGAACTCGTTTGGAATTCGAGAGCCAGTTTCGCATTTCAAACCTGCCTTTAGAATGTATGTTGCGCAGTAGCAAGATGATTAATTTCGTTTTCATTGTCTGTACTGTACAGCCAGTCATCTACAAATGCGACGTTGCCGAAATCGACCGACCGGCGATTGCAGAAGATCGGGACCCTTGAGCAGTACATCGTTTAGACTCGTATCATTAACCTTTGCAGCTGCATCCACCAACACAATTCTTTTATTTTTGCTGATATTTAAAACTGTTAATATCGGGATAAACCAGGACTTACCTCATCTAGAGACTTCATCGGCTTTCAATTTTCTTACATAGCCCTTATCGATATATTCGTTCCACAAGACAAGAAAATGCTTAAGCTTCATGTTGTAGGACTGATGCCAACAAAATTTACGGCAAAATAGGCCCTCATTAAGCTGTCTAGTTGGTCGTCTCTGTTACAGCAGCCTCCATCGGAGTAGATTTAACGTGGTCGTAAACTGATCAGCCCAGCTTACAGCTTGCCGCAGTTAAATCCCTATCTTTGACTTGGTGTACTTCTGCTGAAACGCAGAGTTCGGTTGTGTTGTCTAAGCCAATTAACAATCGTGCTTTGCAGTCGGTGTATGGCAGAATAGGTAGTGACTTCAAATGTTCGTGCGCATTCAGGGTATCGGCATTTAAAGATTGCTGTGGGAGCTCGAGGTCCATATTGGTGCGCATATTTTGTAAACGATAGCGCTTTGGACTCTCTATTCTGGGAGATATCTCGCAGCTTACATATTTGGAGTTTGCCTTTTGCTGAGATATACCGCCTGTCCTGCGTATAATTTTCTATGTTCGACTGAGTGTTGATGATCATGGTTTGACTATGTAACCGTGAATTATGTGCCACTCGGCAATTATTCACACCGCAGACTCTTTTGGGATTGCAGCGTCTAACTTTGCGAGCTTTGAAACAATGCCGTCAAAATATGGCAAGAAATGCCCAGAACATACGGACTGAGTTTTAGTTCCAGCAAGATCAGGCGAGCCATACATTCTAATGATCTGTATGGTCGGGTACCTTACATCTCTACGCAGAGTCAAAAGCGTCGATTGGAGTTTGCGGAAAATATATAAAATTAAGAACAAATCGTTTTGGAATAACGTAATTTTTTTTGGCGAAAGCAAGTTCGAAGTTCTCGGTAAAAAAAAAAAATACTGATGTTTGGTTAAACAAAAATCAAGAATTTGAACAGAAAAACGTTGCATCCACTGTAAACCATGGTGGGGGGTGGGTGATGGTTTGGGGGTGCATGGCAGCATGAGTGGGAAGATGGTATTTATTGATAGCACTATGAAAAGAGTTGACTACCAACACATTTTAAAAGTAAACTTACTTCCTAGCGTTGAGAAATCAGGCTTAAATGAATCCTGGATCTTCCAACAGAACAACGATCCTAAACATACGGCAGGAAAACTGCTTTTTACGTACAAACGTTGGGCAACGCCTCTCTAGCCAAAGGTTGTTAGTGTGTTTATAAGTATACCAGAAGCAGGGTCTCTTGAATATAAAAAGTGTATCTTTAAATGTTTGTAACTTTTAAACCATAATTTTGTGCGCGATAAAGTTAATATTTTTGGTAATAGTAGAAATCCTACTACCAAAATTGAACATTTCATAAAAAAAACCACAGGCTGCAAACTAAAGTCAGCCCAGCCGAACTATAAAGGTAACAACTTGCAACAATTTGTCGTTTAGTTTTTCAGAAAGGAAGATTCATACTTTAATGAGGTTTAAAGTATTACTCCGTGTAATCTTTACAGCATTTTGCCGTTTATTTCGTCGACACTGTTTTCTTATAATTCAAAGAAATTTAAACCATCACATTAATTACCTCTAACTCCTCAATGTATGTTGTATGGCGGGTGATTATTTCACTTCCCACCGAATTTTCATATCACGAAAGCGTTGTTGTAGTCGTGCTAACTTTAACATTCATTTATATGAATGTGTCAAAATTAGTTTTGTTCGGCGACCTGATGGCCATTAGCGGTTCTTACTGAACAGCGTTTGATGAGGCAAAAACCAAATAAAATTATAAACGAAAGAATTGATCTTTTGTTTTTGGATTGGAGAAAGCTGCAAAATCGTGCTGAGAAAATTTCAGTCATTAAAAACTAACAAGTATGAAAAGCAACTGATTTTTTATAATAACTGTTAATATTTATTCAACTCTCAAGACAGCCGGTTCTACGTACCGGAGTTGACCCGGATTTTATCCGGCCAAAGGCTGTCACTCTTTCGGCGACCTAACCCCGTTCAGGTCAACAGGTAATATTAGACTAAGTTCGCCAACGGAGCAACACCTTGCAGCTGGGTTGCTCCAAATCCTTCTTATCAGGGATGGTGTCGAAACGCAGAAAAAATGAGTCATCTTGTTATTGCTATTGCTAAAAAAAGTATCCACTTGATTGATATTTTTTCCAAAAATTAGTCCAAAAAAATTGCAAGGAACCAAACTGAATAAAAAATACATCACTTATAGAAATCTGATTTTTTTTTTCTCAAAATTATTCAATGTTTAATACCGACATAAAGGATAGAGCACCCTGTAGTTCTAATGGATTGTTCATAAACCATCCGGACCTTTCTCTACCTTCATGCAGTCTAACGTGGCCTTTCCAGTGGCCCTTTCAATATATTTCTATATTAGCTATTTTCTAATATACCATACAACTTAATCAATATTCTATCAAATTATTTATTAAGCACAATTTTTTAACATATAGTAAGTATTTTCATCAGAAGAAAACTACGTAGCTTTATTCTCAGCGCCTCCCTTCGCCGTCTTGACCGGGATACGTGATTTATGGACGCTCACTAAACCACAAATACATGTAAGTTTTATACTTATGCTATGACGTGTATTAATATGCAGCACGCGTTAGTAAATATGTTTACCAATTATTAAGAAAATCGAACCCCTTACGTAATTTCAGAGCGGTATTTAAAAGACGAATATCTTCACACTGAGCTTCTCCATCATCATCGAAGTTCATATGATCCTCCTCGGATGCATATGTAGACGAATTTGATAATGCAGCCGAATTTCCGCTATTACTGCAGTTTTGCTTAAGTGTTGCAAGCTCACCTTGTTCAAATGGGACATTCGTAAACACAGCATAACTTAAATTTTGTTGCGAAGATAAAATATCCAAAAGTTTTTCATTGTTTTTGTTAAATAAATACTGCTCAATTTCAGATGTGTTCCTTTTCCGCGAAGAAAAGATGTGTGAAACCTTTGGCTTATAAGGTTCGTTTAGATTTTGTAACGCAAGTATTGATTGTGTTTTTAAAACTGAACTATTATTTTGATTTCTGTCATTCTTACTGTTTAAGCGAGTAAGATTATGGCTTGAAACGATTTGGACATTACTGTGTGCCTCATTTTTCACATTTTCATTTTGAATTGTCAAGCTTTTTTTCAACTTCTGTTGAAACTGTTCAAAATCTCTATTAACAGATATACTTTTCGCTAAGTTTACATTGTTTGGTTCATTAAGGAGAAAGTAAATATCTTTACACGCAGATTTCGAAGCTAACTCATTATTGCATTTAAGTCTTTGCAAATCAATTTGTGAGCTTGTGCAGTAACTAAAAGGAAGAGAATGTTCATCACGATAAGATCCCAGCAAATCATCAAAAACCATATTCAATGCAATTTTTTGAGAAGCACACGAATTAAAATTGCGTCCATCATAAGCAAAGTAAGTTTGCACCCCATTTTCCGTTTTCATGTTTCGAGTATATAACTTATTAGCTCCCTCCAATTTAGGGTTGGTTCCAGCATATGACGTAGACAGTTTGTTGACTGCTGGGGGTGGTGGCGGAGGGGACGACGCTGGCTTAATTTTACCATTTATTTGTGACGGCAATGAGTTTTTTATACGCGCTGTTAAGGGACTTGACAGTAAACTTTGAGTACGCTTAGTTGCAGGTTGCGATTTGTCCAACGGATTATCGTAGATGTTGCCTTGATTACTTTTATCTCTGTTTTGGAGGGACTGCCTGAGAATTTGTTCAAGGTTTGTTAGCCTTAAAACTGGTAATTGCGAACTGAACGATGCAGATGATGCGTTCGCTGATAATGCCGACTCCGACGAAATTTTATCAAAATATTTTATTGAAATCTCTGGTTTAATAAGAGTTTCATTTATAACTTCATTTTGTTCATTTTGATTCAGTGTATGCCAAATTTGACCATAAGTTGATTTTGTAGTGTCTATATCAGATGCAATACGTTGAGCTAACGGGTTTATTTGTGAGAAGTACTCCTGTGCCTTTTGAATGTTAAATGGTTTGAATTGTACGGCAGGCATTTTTTAACTCCTTTCGTTACTCCAAAATTATATTACCGCCACTGAATTCCTTATTTCTTTTCTAAACAAATTTAAATGGTTTCATTAATTTTCAACATCAAATATTAATTTGTGCACTATAAATATATGCATATAATATAATTGAGATCTTTCAAGATTTTATTAGGTCGGGGAAAGCTTTAGTATCTGTTGTTTTTGTTGAAAATCTCTGGGTTAGTAGTGGAAACTCTACAATCACCAATATATACATATATTACCATTTAAAATTACCCTTTTACATACAAAGAGTCTGTTCAAAATACTAGGCATTGGGCCTTTGTGATTTGGCCGCCTTCGGTCGCGCTTAAAAAAATTATACCTGGGTCGACCCAGCATCGAGTTCATCTTGCACGGTATTTTAAGTGAAACACCTTAATAAGTTATTAAGCTTTTTTTCGCCCTTTTAAAAAATAATCCCAGACCGGACCAACGCCGTCTTCGCTTTGCACAGTGACAATATCTGCCTATCAATGTTGTATGCTGTGTTTACTATTAAAAATACGAGTATAAGTACTTATATATTAAAGTAGTTACTCTATATAGTATGAACATTTAAACTATATACATGCGTGCGATAAAATTTATATTTTTGGGTAATTGCAGAGCTTTAACTGCCCGCTCGGAAATTTCTATCAAATAAAAACACAGGGTCCATACTTAAGGCAAGCCCCTTTCTATTTATATACATATATTATACATTGTACTCTGCCAACCAACCCTGCAAGACGGGCTGATGGATTCACTAATACAGGGTGAGTTCCAAAACGTCAGTTGCAAAGCAACCACACATTGTCACACATTCCTACATGCAACTGTGCAAACTTTGACAATATATCACATTGCATCGGTAATGTTATTGATGCGTAAACTAAAGCAAACTGCGCATCGCTAAGGTTTTGTTTGTTTCATATTTTAGCCATTTCACCAAAAAGAAAATTTTTTGCAGTTTTGCGTTCCAAAATTTCAGAGTTTGCAAAGCATTGTTGAAAGGCGAATTCATAAAATGAAGGGTTAAATTGCGATGATGCATCATCGCATCATTACAAATTATTTTGACATTTTGAAACTCGCCCACACTTACATGATTTCAGACAGCACTAACAGCAGTGGAGCGGATTGACCATTTTATTTTATGTTCTTATCCTTATTTCGAGAAGTAGTTTCGGTATAATTGATCAAACAAATACGGACATAAATTTTAAGCGGACAAAATTTTGAAAAACAATTACAAATGCATAAAGGTCCTGAGTATGTCTAAACTGGGGTAATTGTGAATTGTCTTTACGTTTTTTACTTCATTTTAATTGTTTCTTCCACGTTCTCCTTGTGGCGAGGTAAAACTGCGGTTATATGTGTGAATGTATATTTGGATATTCATATGTACAGAAAATTTTTATCGAAGCTGGTGCTCATCTGTGCTCGGCATGTAATGCACCCCTATGCTTGTTTACGTCAATATTGTTTTGTTTTGGTATCAATGCTATCGCTCAACTGTGCATAAGGAAATGGAGTGAGAGTGACGTAACATATAACGTAACCATCTGTTCCCCTGAAGTACGAGTTTACAAGGTGATACTTTTTGTCGAACGAATAAATGCCGTACATTTCGAAATTGAAACTTGGGTTTTTACTACAATATTAATGAATATGTGCATGCAAACATATACGTATATGTATATATGAATATGCGTATATGTACGAGATGTGTTCAAAAAGTATCGCGAATTTTGAATTTTCGAGGCTTACGTATTGTTGCGAAAATGCGAGGCGAATGTCAGATGAAAGAGAGAAGCCGATAACTAGTACGTTCTAGAAACGATAAAACAAGAACCTTCCATAGCGAACAATTCGATGCTTCTACGCTTTCGTCTGCGAGCAGCCGACTGCTATATAAAGGCGACACTCAGCTGCAAGTCAAGCAGTGACAAAGCAAATTGGTTGGCGTTAACATCAGTGAAGACGTAAAGTGAACGCGTTGGGAATTACATTTAAGTAGAGTAAATTGTGAAAGTTGATGTTAGTGATTATAAATAGTAAAGTGCAGTATAATTGAATTGTGAATTACTGAGAAAATAAAGGACATTAGATAGAATCTTTATAACGAAAGAAACTGCAAATTAAGTTGGCGAGTTTTTATTTAACAATCCAGAGATCGTACCCGAAGGATCTAGAAAATAATCGAGGGGATTTAGTAAAATCGTAACAGTATAATCGAATTCCGATTTTTTTGTGGCGTTATGTTGGTGCTCATGTCTGTCACTTATGCCGACAAGCTCGGCAATTTTGAATGTTAACTTAATTGTTAACAGCTGCTTTGCTTGCACATGTTTTGGATAATCTTCGATTTTTACCAATTCAAAAAAATGGATCAAAGAACCACAACATATACATATGTAGCACTAACACTTTTTTATAACTTTGGGAATATTTCGTGTTTTTGTTTTATTTTCATTCGATTTAAAAAATATTGAAGTTGCGACTTATTCGCTCGATTTTATTCTGCGCCTTGGATCGCGTTTATTTCATTTGGTAGTCGTAAACTTATTAATTTTCTATATAATAGAAAATAATACATTTACGTTACGTTGCGGTTCTTTCGCGAACAAGTTTTGGCACAATGTATAAGATCAACAGTGTTGAATATTCTATTTTTATTGTTTATTTATATAAAAGTGTAGGTGTGCGAAGTGCTATGAAAAACTACACATATGTAGAAAACAGTAAAATCATAACTTTATATAAACGAGAAAAATCTGCTTAAGTGCATAAATAAACAACAATACGGTACATAAATATATAACATACGAAATTAAAAACATAGAAAACATATACATATATGCAATCATATGTGTAGAAGTGGGCAAAGATAAAGATATGTAAGAAAAAAAAAACGAAATAAAAAGAATTTCATATGTTCATGCATACATCCATACATGTGTCGTAAACGATCGCACAAAATGAATAAATAAAAAAAAGAGTGCACATAATTATATACATACGTAAAACATATGCACTAACTTACATACGCAAGATAAATGAAAAAAGAACTAAAAATCAAAAAAACCGTACAAAGTAAATTAAAAGAAATACAAAAAAGTTCACGTTGTTAGTTATAAACAATAAGCGCTAACTTATATTTTAAAGTTAAACATATTAAACAATTCATACACATATTTACCCCGATATACGATAGAGAAAAATTAGAAAAAAAAACGAAACTTCAACAACACAGGGAACTCAAACCTTTCTCCCAAAAAAAGTGTGGTTTGTGCTCAGTCCGCAAGCTTTTTCCACTCCACTATACATTAGTTTATCCAAAATAAGTATCATACTTTTTATCATACATATTCGCTATTTCAAAAATTAAATTAAAACTCACATACGAAATCCCGCGATACCCCACACGCATATAACATCTCCCTTATGTGCAAAAAACATCACGTATATAACATCTTCCTTATGTATACCTCAACTGGTTTGAAACCTCTACCAACGGGGTACATTACTCAAGCGCGCTGAGGCAGTAAAGTGTGCTCAGCAAAAAGCCACCACCTAAATAAATTAACAAATTTTATATATTATAAATTAAATAACTAATAACAAATAAATATCTACAATCACAATGGTAGACGACAATGTAGAGAAACTCTATACGGGACCTCGAACCTTATTCAAATCGCAAGGGAAAGAGGAGAATTTCTCACTACTCCATAAAAGATTCCTCGTCGAGCACTAACGTCTGCTCTAAATGGTGGAGCGCTAGCGAAGAATCTCATTCAGTGACAGCCCTACAAATTTTCAGGGATAACCTGGAAAATGACATGGTCCTGGTATATGCAGCGAATTCGCACATGCGCAATATGAAGGAGGAAAAAGCCCGAGAGGAGCGAACAGAAGCATATGAATCCACAGACGGCAATGCATTGCTGATAAAACTCCGAATTAGTGAATCCCTCAGCAAATTCCAGTAAAATGCTCATACACACACACATACACCCACTACCATGATGCCACCACCAAAAACTCTCAAGACAGGCGGTTCTATGTACCGGATTTGACCCGGATTTTATCCGACCAAGAGCTGTCATTTTACGTTTAGGGCAACAGGTACCATTAATTTAAGTACGCCAGGGGAGCCAAACATCGCAGCTGGGCTAATCCGAATCCTTCTTATCAGGGCTGGCATCGAAACCAACCCTGGGGTCGAGTCCAGCGTTCCATGAACTTATCGGATGATGCCATACGAAAGCAATCGGATCGTAATTGTTTCAAAATGTAAAAGATTTCATCTTCACCTCGAGCATTCTTCTCCTACAATTTTTCATCAGCAGTTCCCAAATGTTTAAAACTTTCTTTGTGCAATAAAAGCACAAGCAAAAAAAGGTCTCGGCTGATCAAAGAAACATTCCCATATGTGCTGCGGAAGCTAGGTTCTACAGTCTACAGCAGCTACGCCAGCACTACAACTAGCAGCTGCTCTTACTCTTCTAACAAGTGGAGGCTAACATTCAGTTGGTAGCGATTTTTTGGGATGTGTCAAAGTACGGTTTCGAAGCTGACAGGAAGTGTATTTAAAAAAAATGGAAGAAAAATTATGCCCACGATTTATACAGTTATATACAAATACCTGGAGGTACAAATTGGTTAAAAATGTACAATAATTGAATAAGAACAATCCATTTTTTCTATATACATATATTTCAATAGGTAGGCCGCCTTTGGGTAATTATTTAATATCGAATTTATGTATAACTAAATTAAATCAAAATATATTTTATTAGCGGACTCTGGTTGCCCTCTAGAGCCAAGGTGTCTGACGCCATATAGGAATACATCTGATGACTTCAGCAATGCTTTTTTCAATAAAATACGTTCAGCAAGAAGCGTAGTTGAAAGAACAATACAAGAGGAAGGTACGACCCTGTAAAAGTAGCTAGGTTTGCTAATGAATGTTCAGCGCTACACAATATTTGCATAAAGTATAAAGGTCCCTTCACCCCTCAACACACCGCCACAAGGCATTTGGTGTACATATCGGAGAAGAAACACATTTAACAAGAATTGGAAATTAATTAAGTGATAATATCAAACATTCTTTAATAAATTAACTTTAATACGATTCATGTAAAAAATCATTTGTTCCGTTATATATTTATTTATTTATTTATTTATTCATTTAGTCACGTACATAAAAAAACTTAAACTATTAAAATTAGTTATCAAGTGGAGTAGCTTTCTTTCACTCGCAAAATTTTTACAATTTTTTGTATTGTAACTTTTTTAGCTCTATCGTTTTAATTTGTAATTTAATACTACTAAACTATACGAAGCGTTTGTGCTTTTCTTCTTTGATTGCAAGATTTCTTTCCTGAGTTTGAAGTACTAACTTTGAATCCAGTCTTCGCTTTATTTCGTTGGTTTCTTTCAAGTTTTCTTGCAGCAACACAAGTTTTTAACTACGTTCGGAAACATATTTTGTTTTTCTTTTTGAGCGTGATGTAGCAGAAACATCGCTACTGTTACTTAATAAAATTGCTTCAACACTTTGCTGGCTGCGGTCATTATCTTCGTGTGATCTTCCAAAAGTTGGATCTTGCAAGTTCCCTTCCACGGCTGCCTTAAGTAACGCTGCTTCTATAATCATCCCATCGATTTGAGTTATCATAACCTCCTTATAGGGACCACCACCAGTTTTTTTTTCGCCTGATACTTTTGGTCAGCGTATACCTAAAATATAACGTTGGAAAAAATTTTGAATTGAAGGAAAACTTGTGTTTGTATACTTTTGCCGCGTTTTCGTGTCTTTTGTTTCAACTCCTCCCATAAATTATTAGCAGTTGCTTGGCCCAGTGTGCAGTTTGGCAAAAGATTTCAGATTGACCGCATTCATTCAGTGATGAACTCCTTTTATGCCGCGTTAATTTGATTTGCATTTTTTTAAATAAATTACTGAAATTTTTCTCGTTTGTTTACGAATACAATTTTGTAATCGAATGACAGTTCGTAACGAATAACTCGTTAACCTTTGGCCTTTCTGAACGCATCATACGGAATTACGAAAACGAGTACAGGTGTGCCAACGGCTGGAGCATCTTAAGACCTGCTCAAGCGTTAAGAACCAAAAGAAGTGCACCAAACCCCCATTCCTACCCACAGCCAGCTCCTCCTCCACCCGTGCGAGGTTTACCCAGCAGCTCCTTGTCTCCCGCACTGTCTATTCCGTGTGTCAGGTCATCGTGCGTCGGAACAGTACCTCAGTCGGATGCAATTCTTGTTCTGGCTGGTGTCATTTCCGGACGTGGTCAGACCTGTGCACAACCCGTGAGTGGAGTGATACGTACGTACGCCTATTTCAACAACTTTACTGCCAACCAACACCAAAGTACGGCATCAACCTCAGCGGATAATACTACAGCAACACACTCCATCCACGCATCATTCTCTTCACCCGCATCACGAACGTTCCTCGAGAGAAACACCACCCTTCCAAATTAATAGCAACGAACTCCAGAAGAAGATCGACGAGATAGTCGAGTATATGAGCCCTGTCAACTGCTGCGATCCAGGAAACAAAGTTGACTGCCCGCTCAGATCTTCTTAGCCGGGCCGGATACAACATTATCAGCAAGGATGGCGAGCAGGACCATGGTAATGGCTCAGCGTTCATCATACAACACAACCGAGAATATCGTCTTGCCGACCGCAGGGATTCTACCCTAGAATGTCAGAGCATAGCTATCCAGTCAGACGATGCCGAGCTCGAGATATTCAATATATACATTCCTCGTGTTACAAGCTCCTCAGTTGGATTTAGCACTGAAATGGGTGCGGTGGGGGTAATCGCCAAAGCTCACCAGATATAACAATTGCGAATGCTGGTCTGATAAACAGTATAGTCTAGAAGCTGTATTGACACTACCATCGGACCACTTACCCATACAAATCTCGATTGATAGCCCTCCCGACATTGTTACCACGGATGACCAGACATTTGTTAACTTAAAAAAAGCTAAGTCCAAGGCCTTGGAGCCTCCATAGCAACATCAACGACAACAAAAGAGAAGTTATATATACATATATAAGTTAAGACGGCCGCCTGCTGCCCAATTATACTGTTCCCACAGTAAGCGGCGGTTGCGAAATGATTGCAGTGCACATTGCAGTGTGACACGGTACTCGAGGGAAGTCAAGGCCAATGCTACTCACACACCTCGCCCTTACTCAGAGAAACCTATAAAAAGCCGCGGCCATTGGAGTTGCGGCAGTTGCAGTCGGGGTGTTATCAATTAAGCTATACCTTCATTAGTGATTGTGTTGTATTTAGTTTTAAATAAATTTGTAGTTCTAAAGAGTAACTTATTGTTTTAATCGTGGGCAGCTGGCCCTCTTATTTTTTTTAATTTCAAAATCAACTAGAAGTTTTAACTTATATATTATTATACACATATATATAAATATACATATTACACAAAATACATATATACGCAACACATAGAAATAATTACATATCTAAAAATACATATACACATATGTATACGTACAAATAAGTACTAAAAATTTAAGCTCGGCACTAGCATAGCGAGCCGTCGCTGTTAAGTAGGGCAAAGAAGAACAGGCAATAGGCCTACCAACAAACCGCAGTGCATAACTGTCCACCTGTGACCAAAATTTAGTATAAAAGGAGCATCAGCAGTGATAGAACACTTTTGTTTGTGCTGTCGTAGATAGAGTAAATGGTGTGTTGTGCAAACGCTGCCAATAGAAGTAGATAGAAGTATACGGCTGACGTGAAAACGCTGCCAATAGAGGTATAGAGCTAACATGAAAACGCTGCCAGTAGAATATTTAAATAATAAAGTTAATTGTGTAAACGTAGAACTAACGTTCAACCAATTTACGGATGCCTGATTCATAGAAATCGCACAGTTTCTCGTTGAAAAAGGTGTCAAGGTGGTTTTTGACGTCTTCCACATTTTTAAATTTTTTCCCATTCAAATTGTTCTGCAGCGATCGAAACAAATGATAATCAGAAGGTGCAATGTCGGGTGAATATGGGGGATGCGGCATGATTTCCCAATTCATCTCCTTCAGTTTGGCCAGGGTCGGTTTTGCAACATGTGGCCTGGCGTTGTCATGATGGAAAAGAACTCCTTTGCGATTGGCCAAAATCGGACGTTTTTCATCAATTGCTTTCTTCAATTCGACCAATTGCTGACAATACTTGTTGGCAGTGATCGTTTCTCCAGCTGGCAAGAGCTCAAAATAGATCACGCCTCGGATATCCCACCAAATGCACAGCAGTACCTTCATCGGATGCAATCCACCTTTCGACATCGGTTCCGCCCCTTCGTGTGCCTGTTTCCATGTTCTTTTGCGTTGAACATTGTTGTACAGGATCCATTTTTCATCACCAGTCACGAGCCGATCCAAAAAAGGTTCGTTTTTGATCCGTCGAAGCAAAGAAATTGCTGTTGACATACGGTCCACTTTGTTTTTTTCACTCAACTGATGTGGCACCCATGTATCGAGCTTCAAAGTGTACCCAACCTTTTTTAAACGACGAAACGCAGTTGATTTGTTGACGTTCAATTCACTGGCAACCTCTTCCGTCGAAATACGTGAGTTATTCGCAACTAAAGTCCTTAGAACATCGTCATCAAGCTCAGAAGGCCGTCCACTGCGAGGTTGATCTTCGAGGTTAAAATCTCCAGAACGAAATTTCGCGAACCATTTCTTTACTGTGCGGAGTGCTGGAGCACGGTCCAAATAAACTTCGCAAATATCTTTAGTTGCAGCGCCTACTGCTCCTTCCCCCTTCTGGTGGTGGAGGGAGCTTCGAGAAGTAAAAGTTAAACAGTAGCGAGGAGAGGACACCACCCTGTGGAACCCCTTGTTTAATTTTTCTGGGTTTCGATGTTACACCTCGGAAAATTACCGATGATTGTCGACCACTCAGGTAGCCCATGACCCACCTCTGCAACCCCGGCGGTAATGAGTATTCCTCAATATCCGTTAGTAGCACTGAGTGATTGACTGTGTCAAAAACTTTTGACAAGTCCAGTGCTACTAGGACAGTTCGCGCGCAGGGTCGGTTTCGGTTAAGGCCATGTACTATCTGGGTGTTTATGGCGTTAAGTGCTGTTGTGGTGCAGTGCACTCTTCGAAAGCCATGCTGATGCGCTGCTGAACGCAGATGGTGAGTGAAAGTCGGGAGCAGTAAGGCCTCAAGTGTCTTCGCTACTGGGGAGAGGAGAGTTATCGGCCGATAGGACTCTCCTTTGTTGGCTGGTTTTCCCGGCTTAAGTAGCGAGACCACACTACCCATTTTCCACACATCGGATATCTTCAGGGTGGTCAGAGACAAATTGAGGACCCGTCGGGGCCGATAGATTTGGAGGCTCTCGCCTTCCCGATGACCCCCTTAACCTCCTTCGTGGAGAAATCAAGCACTGCGATGGTGTTTGGCAGTTTGCGGATACGGCGGGTTACACGTCGTTTCGCTTTGTCTACCGAGGGATGCAGTGTGAAATGTCGGCTAAAAAAGCTCGCCCATCTCTTCGGGTCCGACGAGGCGCGATCACCGAATGAAATTTCCACCCGGTCCTTGACTGTAGCCCAGACCTTGGTCGCCCCAGAGGAGAGGTTGCAGGTCTTTAGGTGCTCCCCCCACTTTTTCCGCTTGTGATTGTATCCTACTCTTCGAATCTCCGCGTTTAAATCCCTGATTAGGGGATTCCCGGGGTCGGAGCTTCGGAGGGTGTCGCGTCGGGATGCTAATACCGCCGCTGCTGTCGGAAAATTTGGGCGGATTTCCGCGATTCGGCCTGCCGGGATGAAGCGGGCGGCAGCGGTCACGACGACCCTGCGGAATAAACGTTCACCAGTGGTGACGTCTGATGGAGTGGGAAGAACACTGAAGGCGTTCTCAGTGAATTCCGTGAAGCCGGGCCAGTTAGCTTTTTTTTAAGTTAACACATGTCCTGTGATCCGCGGAAACAAGGTCGGGAGGCCTGTCGATCGAGATTTGTATGGGCAAGTGGTCCGTTGCTAATGTCAGTATAGGTCGTCAGACTATACTGTTTATCAGACCAGCAC